TGTTGTTTTTTCTTCATTGGGAAGCACCCGGAAGCACAATCAGCCTCACGAATCCTTACCCATCATGTCTGGCCTCAAACTTCAGCCACCTGCCGCCTGAATCCTGCAAAGTTGTTGCCATGGACACTTCTTTTGGACAGATTTCAAACATTTTCATCATGGAAGGGAACAAATTGAACAATCAAATGAGCACTTTTCGCAAGCTTCAACCTTGGATTTGTCATGTTTTGTCTTGGTTTTGGTGATTTGATCTGGTAAATGTTGCATTCTGACAAGTCGTTGAGTGCCTGTAGGGATGCACAGCGGTGATTCACCACGACATCCAGCATGGGGATAATCTCCTGAGTTTTTGCATCGCACAATGCAGCCTAAACTGTTTGTTTCGGAGATGACCTATGAAAGCAATAGTCCATCGCGGGAATCTGCCCGGCTCCGATGGAGCCCGCCTGTTCGTGCATGCTCTGAATCAGGTGCTGAAGCTCCTGCATCTCGATCAGATGGGGATGGGACCGGATGGGACCGGATGAAATCTCACTGACCCTCTGATCAATCTCCATATTATATTCCAGTAGTACCGCAAATAGGAAACCTATAGGAGAGGTTGGTTGTTGTGAAACAGGGATGGCAGAGCGAATCCACTGATGGACGGAAAGGTGCTTGAGGTCTCCTCTCTTTCTCTCTTTTTCTCTCTGTTTCTCTATCTTTCTCTGATTATCTACCTACCTACCTACTGATCTAGCTGTCTACCTATCTATCTGTCTGTGTGTCTATCTATCTCCCTATTTATCTATCTATCTATCTATCTATCTAGCTGTCTGTCTGTCTATCTATCTGTCTGTCTATCTATCTATCTCTCCGTCTATCTTTCGATCAAACTGTCTCTTTATCTATCTGTCTATCTGTCTATCTATATGTCTATGTATGTATCTATCTATCTATTTATCTATCTATCTTGGTATCTAACTATCTGTCTATGTGTCTATGTATCTATCTGTCTATCTGTCTATCTATCTATCTATCTATTTATCTAGCTGTCTCTCTATCTATTTGTCCATCTGTCTATCTGTCTATCTGTCCATCTATCCATCCATCCATCCATCTATCTATCAATCTGTCTAGCCATCTATCTAGCTATCTATCTATCTATCTATGTATCTATCTATCTATCTATCTATCTCTCTCTCTCTCTGTCTTTCATCTGTCTATCTGTCTACCTGTCTACCTGTCTATCTATCTATCTATCTATCTATCTATCTATCTATCTATCTATCTATCTATCTATATCTCTCTCTCTCTCTCTTTCATCTGTCTATCTGTCTAGCTGTCTACCGGTCTATCTGTCTATCTATCTATCTGTCTATCTGTCTACCTGTCTATCTGTCTACCTGTGGTGCAGTGTCATTCAGTGTAATGTAGTGTAGTGCAATGTAGCGTAGTGTAGTGTAATGTAGTGTAGTGTAATGTAGTGTAGTGTAATGTAGTGTAGTGTAGTGTAATTTAGTGTAGCGGAGTGTAGTGTGGTGTAATTTAGTGTGGTGGAAGGTAGTGTCGCGAAGTGTAATGTGGTGTAGTGTAGTGGAGTGTAGTGTAATGTAGTGTAGTGTAATTTCGTGTAGTGGAGTGTAATTTAGTGTAGTGGAGTGTAGTGGAGCGCAGTGGAGTGTAGTTGTGTAGTTGTAGTTACTGTTGTGGGGTGTAGTGTAGTGTAATGTAGTGTAGTGTAATGTAGTGTAGTGCAATGTAATGTAGTGTAGTGTAATGTCCTGTAGTGTAGTGGAGTGTAGTGTAATGAAGTGTAGTGTAGTGTATTTGAATGTAATTGAGTGTAATTGGGTGTAGTGTATTGGAGTGTAGTGTGGTGTAGTGGTGGTTGTAGTTGAAAATGCTACAAAACCCGCACGTTTTGCTCACTTTTGACAAGGTGCACAATCCCTTGCGCCTGCCATGCGAAGCGACATCTGAACCTCCAAAGTGGTCTGAACCCCTAGTGTTTTTCACATTTTGACTTCGAAATGTGCTTCGCGACACAACGGCGTGCACTTTTTCGACATCTCGACCTCCAAAAGTTGTCCAAACCCCTAGTGTTTTTCACATTTTGACTTCGAAATGTGCTTCGCGCCACAACGGCGTGCACTTTTTCGACATCTGAACCTCCAAAAGTGGTCCGAACCCCTGGTGTCTTTAACATTTTGACTTCGAAATGTGCTTCGCGCCACAACGGCGTGCACTTTTTCGACATCTGAACCTCCAAAAGTGGTCCGAACCCCTGGTGTCTTTAACATTTTGACTTCGAAATGTGCTTCGCGCCACAACGGCGTACACTTTTTCGACATCGCAACTTCCAAAAGTGGTCCGACACTGAGGAGTTTTATACATTTTGACTTCGAAATGTGCTTCGCGCCACAACGGCGTGCACTTTTTCGACATCTCGACCTCCAAAAGTGGTCCGACACTGAGGTGCTTTATACATTTTGAGTTCGAAATGTGCTTCGCGCCACGA